GATGCCAGGCCAGAGTGACCTCTCTGACTCCGGCCCAGGGCTTTTCACAGACCACACCGGCATAGGCTTAGAGCTGATTACAACCACACTCCTTGTCTTGTGTCTGCCTCATTTCTTTGGGTCCATCTCTGTTTTTGCAGGATTGGTCACCCAGAGTCCTTTAACCATCTGGCATTGGAAGAATTCTTTAGTAGGGTCCTCAAAACCTGTCAGAAGTTTGAGGGAAGGAGAATCCTTGGGGGGAAAGGGGAGAATCAAGACACACAAGGTCAGAGCAGAGCCTTATCGCCCCCACCCTGAGCCCCCCCACAAGTACAGCTGAGGAAGGAGAGGCCCGAGGTCTGCTTAAGGTCACATGCTCTGCATAGGAAGGGGCAGGAGTGGGCAGAGGAGGAGGGGTTGCTCCATTTTAGCCACTAGGGAAATCGGAGTGTCTTTGAGAGTGTGGGGAATGGAAAATGTTTATCTTTTCTTGCTGGCCTGAGAAGTAGGGACGGCCGCCCAATCCTCTAGACGCCAGGGTGGGGCTGGATTTGGGGGTCCCATGGACCATTTTAGATTCTCCTGGTTTAAAAGTGGGATTGTGGGATTCCTGAAGCCACTCCTTGTGCAACAGTCTCTGTTTTGCCAGAAATAACCTGGGAGGCCTTGAGGAGGGTGGAAACAGGAGCCCTTGCGTCACAGTTGTTAGGCAACCAGCAGCTTGATGGAGCCGGTGGTTCGCGTGTTGCCCTCTGGTGGCCGCTCTAGGGCCCTTCGGGCTCCGTCCCGGCTGAGCAGGAGTAGTGCTGCCACCTGGTGGGTCAGCTGTGATCCGCGGTCACGTTCAAAAGCGTTTCCTCCTCCTGCGGAGACTTGGCGGGGTCGGGTGTATTCTGTGGTCTGCAGCTCTGAGCCTCAGGGGCAGGGACCCCTCAGCCCCATGCTGGCTCCTCCTTATCCTTTCCTCTTTTTCTGTGAGCCGTCAGGCCAGTAACTAGTATCCCGAAGCCGCTCAGGACAGTCCTCGCAGAACGCTGCCAGGCTGTTGTGTTCCTACGGAGGCGCTGAGCCTTCCAGCTGTTCCGGATTAGCATCTAGCTCCAAGCATTTCGTTCCGGCAGCCCGGTTCCTTCAGCCTCTGGCGCCACGGTGCCTCTCACTTCATCGGGCTGCTGGCCTATGTGAGGGCAAGATCCCTCTTCCCTTAGATTGGCCAAGGCGAAGTGGAATATGAAAAGAACTTTGCCAAGGAACAAAGCGAGGGTCAAATGCTACATTGCAGGGCAGACTCGAAGCATGGAAATGGCAGGGCCTGTTCACAGGCTTGGCCTCGAGGTTGCACATGGGAGCCTCACTACCTTCCCTTAACCTCAACCCCAGGTCTGGGCTTTGATTTTGGCGGGCTTTCTTGTCCGTAAGGAAGGGATTTGCTCTTTCCTAGACCCCTCGGGAGTGCCAACCTGAGCCTGGGAAGCTCGGACTCTTCATTGGATATGGCTTATGCCAATAATCTGTGCTTGACCAATAGCTGAGAAGTGTGGGTGTTGCTGAGGTGCTAAGAAGAGCTACAAGGGGAGTGGGGGTTTTATGGAACAGAGAAGGAGTCTTGGCCCTGGCTCTTGGTGAGTCAGGATGGCCTTCAATACAACTAGTCTCTGAAGCCTCAGAACAAAAGGCGAAGAAACTTCAGTGAAAGCATAAAACATAGCCTCATGTTAGCCAATGCAGAAAGGAAGGTCCAAGAGCCTGGAGCTTCAAAAACCACCATGGCCCGGGGATTTAGCTCAGTGGTTTCGCCGCCTGCTGCTCAAGAGCAAGGACCTGAGTTTGATCTTCGGTACCAAAAGTAGAATAAAATAAAAACCACCCTTATCCCTATCCCCTTGGAACTTAGCCCTCACCAGGGAAGGCCCGGAGGCCAGGCCCCAGGCCGGCTAACACACTGAGCAGGGGGTCAGAGGAGGGGCTAACACGCTGAGCAGGGGGTCAGAGGAGGGGCTGAGGAGACGCAGGGCGCTGCAGCAGCCACACGGGGTTATCGGGATGGGTGTGTTGAGGGATAGGAGCCAGAAGCTGTGGCAGTGAGGCCAAGTTGGGGTGTACGAGTTAGACGAGGGGTGATAAGATAACAAGGCAAACTCAGAAGGGCACCCAGGCCTGATGCAGGCCTGGACGATCAGATTCAGGGTTTATCTTGAAGCCTTGGTAGTCCCAACCTTTCCCTGACTTTCTCTTCATTAGGCCCCTGGCCTTATCCTCTCAGAACCTGGGAGCCTAGACCGAGGCCTTTTTCAAGATACAGAGGGTTGTCAACAGGCAGGAGCCTCAGCTAGCCCTGATGGCTCAGCTCTGGAGGGGACAATGGTAGGACAGGTGGCTACAGAGGCATAAAGGCCACGGTGTTTCTGGACCAGCCCCAGTGTCACCAGCTTTGGACTGGAAGTGGCTTAGGGGAGTGCTAGAGAGTGCTAGTGCTAGAGACCCCTTCCAGTAAGGACTCAGGCCCATCGTCATTTTATCCCTCCCCTTGTGGCTTCCTGAGTGGGGGCGCGGTCACATCTTGGGCAGCAGCCCACAGCTTCCATAGCTTAGTAGGTCCAAGTCCACCTCAGGCCAGAAGGAGCTCATTCTTTTGCCGTGAGCAAAGAGGGCCGCTGTCATTTCCTTGTTCCATGATGAGGATTCAGCTCACTCAAGACTTCTGATGGCCTCATGACAGCTTCTGGCTGTCAGAGCTCACAGACCATCTGCTTGGATTGCCCTGCGGCCCTCCTGTAGGGCACAGATGCTGGCAATAATGTGTCCCATTTGGCAGGCGATATGACATTGCTTCTTGTATCATGTCAGGTGACTCAAATAACGATCATGCCTGTTGACACTTGGAGCTCTCAGAGGGAATTCTGAACAGCAAAGGAAAGATGAAATGAAACTCAAGGGTGCTTGTTCCAAACACTGCAGCAGCCCGCATAACCAGCAATGAAGCCATTGCTAAAGTCAACAATGAAAGAACTCTGGCAAGTACCAAATGGCGGATTGAATCTGGTGTGGCAAATTAGGAAATGCAAAGTGAGGAAGTTGCTTTTCAGATAAATAAATTATATGAGAATTGGATTGCATGCCTCACCATTCGTGCAAAGAGCTGACTCCAATATTTGTAGGATTTATGCTCTGTAAGAAAGATTTAATGTTTGAGACTGCTGCTGGGACTAGTTTTTAATTGCATTGGAACCATTTCTTTTTATTGAGCAATGCTTTATCAAGTGTTAACTGATCGCATGTCAGTTGGGATGTCCTCTGGGTGATGGATGACTCTTAATTGCATTTGGGCAATGTGGAGACATTGCATAGGGCTCCGTAACATCCTCTGTCCCCAGGACAGGGCTCAAGACCACAGGGGATGAGGAACAGAGAGGACATGGGCTACAGCTGGGGCATAACAAGGTGCAACAGAGCTCAGAACTGGTGGAAAAATAGAGCAGGGAGAGGGAGACCCTAAGGAGACCATAAAACCAGACTTCCATTTGCAGCCCCCTTAGCATTCCCTGTCACACCAGGTCTCCTGCTGTGCACTCATTGCTTAAACTTTTCTGTCTCCCTCAACGTTGTGACAGAAACCCAGCCTGATGTATGCTCTACACATACCTCCTGTCTTAGGGACACAACACCTAATATCCACCACCCAGAGGAAGTTAGGTTTATTTTGGCTCATGTTTACAGTCCATAGTCAGCTGGCTCCAAGACTGGACATCGTGGCATAGAGGCATGGCAGAGGAAAAGTGGCTCAGCTTATTGCAGCTGGGAAGGGGAAGGTGAAGGGAGGGGCTGGGAAGGGGGGTGCACCCTTCCTGGTCACTCCCACAGTGACCTTCCTCTTTCTATCAGCCCTCCCCTCCTAACAGCAAATGAGCTGTAATGCCCCTGTAATCCAATCACATCCAAGAGCCCCGCCCACCTATGATCCCAAGAGGCTTTGGGGGCTGGGCATCTGGATCCAAACCATAGCACCTCCCATAGAGGGCCATGATTTCTCAGATAGCATTGTGTGGAATAAGGCTGAAGTAAATAAATAAGTTAAAAATAAGTGAGTTGATGGGGCCGGGGATTTAGCTCAGTGGTGCTGCTCCTGCTTTGCAAGTGCAAGGTCCTGAGTTTGATCCCCAGTACTGAAAAACAAAAAACAAAAACAGATTCTGGGAAAAAAAAAGTGAGTTGATTTAGGGAAAGGTTACAAAGTTTATAACTGTACAGTTAATAGGTTTATGGTAGGAAAAAGGCAGACTTTTCTGAAATCATTATTTTAAATCAGAGGTTATTAACTCTGGCTATGCATCAGAATCTCGTGGAATTAAAAAAAAATATGAACATCTAGACCTTCTCTCAGAGGTCTGGATTAATATATTAAAAAACGTACCTCTCCCCTCAAACCCTAGAGATCCTAATATGAAGCTAGGGTTGAAAACCTCTATCCTAAACCAATATATTCTTTGCCATGGATGATTTCCACCTCCCTTCCCACTATAGTTGAAAGTTATTTCTTATTATTGCTTCTCTTATTATGAAAATGTAAATACACGATAGGCATATTGATGTTAGAAAGCTTGAGGGCAGGAACCATGCCTAGTTTTATTCTGTTTACCAAGCAGCAGGAAGATCTGCCCGTGGCACGCTGTTCCAGTGCTGGGGCTGGTTGGAGCTGGGGCAAGGGCACCACTCTCACTGTGCTCATTTTGCTGTCGCTGAGGACATTGTGGCTGAGTGGCCAGGACATGGGGACTGGGAATTGGGAGATCTGAATTCCAGCCTTGGCTGGGCACTAGTTCACAACGTTGATTAGGTCCCCTCACCCTTTTGGGAGATGAAGAATTTGGCCCCGGCACCTCCTGCATGGACCTTTATCTTCTAATTGACCTTGACTACCAGGGCTTGGTCAGAAAAGGAAGGAAGCGGAGGTTACAGTGGGAGTTCCAAATAGCTGCTCCAAGAAGTGACTGGGCTTAGGAATGTTTTCCTTTGTCTGGTCAGGTAGGACAGAGCCCAGATCCGTGGCGATCCCACCTTTGCATTTCCATGGAAATCAAGGCCCACAGAAGGTAAGGATGGATGGGAGGGTGGGGCTGCCTGATGACCTTAGAGAATGACCTTGGGGTTTCAGACACAGTAAGAGAGAGAACCAGAGTTCAATTAAAGTTTTGATATCCATAAGAGTTGTGTAATTCCATAAGGTAAGAAGCTTCTGACGAGTGAAGGATTCTTTAGAAGTAAACGAACAAATATGTAGTTATATACCTCAAGGGTCACATAAACACAAAATCAGGTGTAGGACCTGGATGGAGGCCGTGGACTTGACTCTGGCTTGAATAGTAGTAATCATCAAGGGCCTGGGCTACTCAGCCACCTCCATCTTTAAATAGGGAAGTTAGAGACTGGAAATAGGGCTTGATGGGTCCGTAGAGACACTACCTAACATGGATCTGGTCAGTGTCCCATCCAGAACCTCTGGCCAATTAGAAACCTCAATTAGCTGAGAAAGAAATGATCTTTCTTGGCGGGGTATTTAGCTCAGTGGTGCCACCACCTGCTTCAAAAGCATAAGGCCCTGAGTTCGATCCCTGGTACAAAAAAAAAAAGAAATGATCTTCCTTGTGGGTAGACATTTTAGAAGCCCAGGGAATATGTAAAATTAAGTACACAGATGTTTAAGGAAGTCAAACTATAGTTTTAATATCTTTAAAGTAGTGGTGAATATATATTAGTTTTTATACACACAGTTTAAAAGAGAATTTGGCCTATTGGAATAATAAACCAAACTTAACATTCTACTTCAATGTTTGTACTTGAAGGATTGATTGATATTTGTGATTTTAAGTTAAAATCTTTCTAAGCTTACGTCTAGTGTGGATATTTAAAAGCATTTAAAATTGCCTTTTTTTGTATGCTGAATTTACTGAATCTATAAGAGTTACTTTTGTATCTGGGGAAGTTTTTCAGTCAGATAAAAATGCTTAAAAAGGAATCAAATATATTAAATTTATAAATGTCATTTAAAATGTTAAAGAGGTTTAATTAACTAAATGTATAAATGGGACTGAACATTAATCAAAAGTCTTCTCAAAGTGACTGTTAATGTTTGCTAGAGTTAAAAAAATTTGCTAGACTTTTAAATAGGATAATAAGATTCCTAAGCTGCTTTTAAAAGCTCAAGAAAGAGCTGTACATTTCTAAATCTATAAATTTAATAAATGAAATATTAATTTTGAAATTTAATATTGGGTTTTGAAACAGCCACTTATTGGAGTGGTCTTTTCTGTACACAAAAGCCACCACCCTCAAGGATATACAAATTTTCTTCTACCCAGTAAGTCTTAGTCAGTGTAGGAGGGAGGAGGGGAGGTGGGAACTGGAGAAAGGAAAAGAAGATTTTAGGGTTATGGGGTTGTCTTGTTCTCAAAGTCAGGCCAGTCAGTGTATTGCACTCAGTGCCAAGTTACTCGTCTTGTGGGCAGAGATTCATTCCCACACATGCTTACTGTGTAGGGTGTCAGAATCATGGAGGATGCTGCTTGGCACCTAAGAAAGTAGGTTGAGGCTCTGGACTCTGCCTTAGTTTGTTCCTGCTGCTATAATAAAACGTCTTAGACTGGGCAATTCATGAATGATAGACACTTCTTTCTCACAGCTCTGGAGGCTGGGAAGTTCAAGATCAAGGCACCAGCAGAGTCAGTGTCTGGTGAGGGGTTGCTCCCTGTATCCACAAAGGCGCCTTGTTGCTTCATCCTCACATGGTAGAAGAACAAAAAAGGAGCCAAAGAGATTCCTTTAACCCCACTCATGAAGTCAGAACCCTGGTGACTCAATTATCTGCCTCAGGCCTCATCTCTTAATACTCCTGCCCTGGGAATTTAGTTCAACATGGCTTTCAGAGGCACACATACAACCAAGACAGAGCAGCATCTAGTGGCCCCTTTCAGCAAGCCCTTCTAGTTGAGTTCTACTGTTCTGTGTGCTATTGTTATTCCTCAGATCATTTCCAGTGGACAAGAATAAAAACATTCTGAGGTAGATGCTAAGGTTTTCGTTTCCCAGAGAATTTTGTAACTGACAGCTAGTGGGAGTGTGCTTAAGTCAGAATTTTTATTTGCACCAATGGAAGCAGACTCTAGCTGATTTAATTAGAAATAGAGTGGTTGAAAAGTTACTTAGAGAACCACTGAGAAGATTGGGAATCCAGCTCATGCACAACATTAGTCAGAACCATGGTCAAAGACATGGCACAGAAAATGGTGAGAATTCTGCTTCCATCACTGAACATGAGAGGTTAAAGAGGAGTCCTTGGTGGTGGACATCACCCTTGGTATTGCTAGCACTGTGTCCCAGGAATGGCCACCAAGATTCTCTACTATTCTGCTTCTCTGCATTGCTATACTTGGAGAAAGGTCCCTGGTGGATGTGCCTGATTGGCCAAACTCATGTCATGTGCCTACTGGGAAAACTGGGAAAGAGAGGATGTGGCTTTTGGCTTCTGTGGTAGGGGGTGGGTGTGATTGTACTTGAGACTCAGAGTAGTGGTATGTTGGAAGCAGCCTGTGAGAGCTGCTTGTCAAAATTTTAGAGAGACAAAATTTAGCTATTATTGATAGCTACATCAAACACAGCTATTATTTAAAAGTAAGTTACAGATGTACTTGTTCCTATTTCTCCTGCGAAGTACAACTAAAATCTCTTTTTTATTTTTTTCTTTTGTTTTTCTGTTTTGTTGTTTGTTTTATTTATTTTTTTATATTTAAATTTTTTCCCCCATTAACTTTATTGGTACATTTTAGGTATGTAATACAGTTACATTCATCATAGGGATTTTGTACCATTACATGAGTCTCTTGGTTCTTATTTTTTTTCCCCTTCCCTTGCCCTCCCTTCACCCCCTCCACCCTTCCTTATTTGCAAAGACCTTGTTTCCGTTTTTTTCCTCTTCTCATATAAAATCTCTTTTTTATTATGTATAGAAGAAACACAGATTCTGAAAGGAAGAGAGAAAAAGGCAGACTAGCTAGAGAGCTTGGGGCCTGAGGAACACACAACATGTAGGTAAGTTCTTTGAGTTTTCTTTTTGACTTATATTTCTCAGACTTAGAGCTGAAGAAACTGACAACTCAGAAATGCCAATATGTGCATACACAAGGACAGAAAACAAAACAGCAACAAAACCCCAAACCCAATGAAAGTCTGTGCTCTCTAGCTAAAGGACCAGGAAAGGAGAAATATAGGAAGACAGAAAATTTAAAGACAGTAATTGCCAAATATCACATAAAAAACTGTGGACCCATTTTCACCTGAACCAACAAAGGTGAAGGTGGTATCCTAGACTTCTGATGTTGAGAGACTGTAACAGGCCACCCCAACACTCATGCTGGCCAAGTAGGGAGCCAGAACTTTCAGCCCTCTCCACAGCTCTCCCCCTTCCTCCTCCCCTTTGGATGGTGTCAGAGGAGGCCTTACAGAGAGTTAGATCTCTCACCATCAACAACAGTAAAAGACAGAGAGGGACATTAAAGAATGATAAGAGTCAACTCTTCAAGAAGACATAGTGATCATAAACATATATGTACCAAACAACAGAACTGCAAAACATTCAAAGAAAAAGTGAATTGACACAAAAAGAACAGAAAAATCACAATTATAACTGGAGACACAAACACTCCCTTCTCAACATTTAGTAGAGAAAATCAGCAAGGATCTAGAAGAAGTCATTGATATTATTAACCAGTAGGATTGAATTGACATTTATAGAATGTGAACCCAACAACATCAGATTATAGTTTGTATTTTAGGCCATACTTTTTCCTTCTTCTGCCATTTTGGCTCCCAAGGTCCATATCCTGGGCCCAAAAAACAAATTGGAATACAATTAAAAGAATGAAAATAATACAAAGTTTATTATCTGACCACAGTGGAATCAAACTAGAAATCAACAGCAGAAAAAATAACAGGAAAATCTTCAAACATTTGGGAACTAAACAACATGCTTTTAAATAATCCACAAGTCAAAAAGGAAGTCTCAATGGAAATAAGAAATTATTGAACTGAATGAAAATACAACTACAACATGTCATAATTTGTGGAACACAGCTTAAGTGATGCTGAGGGAAATGTTCATAGCCCTAAATGGTTACACTAGAGAAGAAGAAAAGTCTAAAATCAATAGTCTAAGCCTCATCTCCAGAACCTAGAGAAAGATTAGCAAGCTAAACTTGAAGGAAATGGAAGGAGGGAAATAATATAGATAAAAACATCAATCAATAAAATTAAAAACAGAAAATAGCAGAGAAAAATCAATGAAACAAAGACTCGTTTTTAAAAAGTCAATACAATTGAATTCCAACTAGTCATGATCAAAAAAAATCTACACCTAAACATATAATAGTCAAGATCCCAGAAACCCAACAGAAGAACAAAATCCTGCAGGCAGTTAGAGAAAAGAAACAAATCACCTACAAAGGAAAGTCCATCAGAATCATGGCAGATTTCTCAACACAAACCCTCAAATCAAGAAGAGCCTAGGGTGAAGTATTTCAAGCCCTA